AATAGGAGATAGACAACTGGTAGGACCTGAGTTGATTCAAATCACATCTGAAAAGGTTCCTATTATTCGGGCCAGGATTAAGACAGCATTTGATCGACAGAAGAGCTATGCTGACCCTAAGCACAGAGAGGTGACATTTCAAGTAGGAGATTTGGTCTTTCTGAAAGTATCTCCTATGAAGGGCGTTCTCCGCTTTGGCAAGAAAGGCAAACTAGCTCCGAGGTATATTGGACCGTACCCAGTAGTTGCAAGAATTGGAGAAGTAGCTTATCAGTTGGACATGCCGAATGAGTTTTCACATGTACACCCAGTATTTCATGTGTCCATGCTACGGAAGTACGTTCCTGATCCATCTCATATGTTAGAGCCACAGGAGGTTCAGGTGGGTGAAGATTTGACATATGAAGAAACACCGATTAGAATCCTCGACTTCCAGATCCGTAAACTGCGATCAAAAGAAATTCCTATGGTTAAAGTTTTATGGAGAAATCATTCGATGGAGGAATGCACGTGGGAAGTAGCGGCTGAAATGCAAAGAGAATATCCTCATCTTTTTCCTTCCATGTAAAGCGTTATTGTATTAAGTCATTTCTTTTTGCTGAATACAATTTGTATTTTCACTCGCATGTATTCTAACCTTATTTTGCTTCTTACTTAAATTCGAGGACGAATTTTTTTTTTAAGGGGGGAAGACTGAAACAACCCGAATTTTTATTTTCAAAAGTTATTCAATTAAATTTAATGAACTGACAGTAAATTTAATGAATACTGACAGCCTGTGGAAAATAATATAAATATTTTTAGTGCGAATTACTATGAGAAACCGAACCGAAAAAAACGATTTGAAAAAGCCGAAAACCAATTAAAAATCGAAGATTGCGGCCGAATCAACAATGCGCAATCGAACCGGTTCGACCCCAAACCCATCTTAGAAACTCCCTCCTCTCTACTATTCACACGCTCACCCCTCAGCCTCTTCACCCAACACTTCCAGTCAGTCACCGGTGGACCCACAGCCGCTCCCACCACCACCCCTCCCCTCTCCTCTCTTCTCTTTTTTCTTTTTCTCTTCTTCTTCTTGCTTCTTCTTTCTTCTGCTTTTCCTTTCTTTCCTTTTTTCTTTCTTTTCTTTCTTTCTTTCCTTTTTCCCTTCACTGCGCCTGCGTCTTCATTTCTGGCGAGACAGCAGGTGATCGCGCCACCCAGCCACCGTGCGCCACCGCCGCACCTTGCTGTCGCAGTCGATCCGCCATCGCCACCCTCCTCTCCGGCCACCAACCTCCATTTCCGGTTAACCAAAAAGTCCGGCAACAATATATTGGGTATAATTTCATTTTAATAATATTATTTAATTAAATTAATTTTATTATTGGTAGTTAATTAATTTAGTTAAATTAATGTTAGTAATATTAGCTAATTTTTATTATTAGTAGTCAATTAATTTAGTTAAGTTAATGTTAGTAATAGTAGTTAATTAAATTAAATTTATTGGTTGTAGTGAATTAATTTAGTTAATTTAATTTAGTAATTGTGAGTAGTTACAAGATTTATAATTTTATTGTTGATTTAATGAAGTTTCGATATAACGTTATTGATGGAGGATGGAAAAATTTGATTGATTGATTGCCCGATGGATGGGCTGTGTGGTTTGAAATTTTTAGATAAATTGTGTATATTTTAACAGGTGGATAGTCCAACTTTTAGGGGGAGATGCTGCCGAAATTTCGGTAGAAATAAAATAAGTTTCGGTAGAAAAATAAAAACAAATTCGGTATAAAAAATAAAATAAATTTTGATAGAAAATAAAATAAATTTTAATAGAAAATAAAATAAGAAATAAAATATAATTCAAACGAAAACAAATAAAATAGAGCTAGATAGAAAGATAAAATTTTAGTACAGAAAAGAAATTAGATATCGAGATTAAATTACGTAGAAAAATTTAGAATATAAAATAAAATTCTTAGAAGGGTAAGGAGATATTTTGTCTGATATAATTATTTCTTTTTGTGTCATTCTTACTTTGCTTAGATCGCCCAGGTCCATCTAGTGCTCCTCCAGGACAGAATCAAAGCTAGGACTTCGCTCTCCCTCACTGTGAGTAATAATAAATAATGCATATCAACATTGCATTTGCATAGTAATTATTTCCTAAATATATATTATGTCACTGTTACTATATAATTATATTTATGATTGTACATTTGGATGTATTTGGTGTATTACTTTGAAAGCATTGTTTGATTACTTGTGCTGTGCTATACGTTGCCTTGTTTGTGTGGAATTGGGATGAAGTGGACCACCAGGGTTTGTGAGGCCACGGTCTTGAGATGGATGCCGGTCCTTTGATATGATACTTTCGACCGTCGCGGGAAAATGGGAGATCGGCCGCCCCCTTGTGCACCCGCTGGATGGATTTAGATTATATGGAAATTCACCAGGAATGGCTTCTTGTTGTTTGCCGCACCATTGACAATCTTAGATTTGATTTGTAGTTCGCAGGGGTGGCCTCCTGATAATCTAGATTGGATGGAGACCACCGGGTTGCCTCCTGTTGATATGGAAAAGAAACGAGAGACTGGAAAAACAATGAGAGGACTGGTCAGTGAGCATTAGACCAGTTGGCCGTATGGGGGATCGGCTCCCTAGTGCACATGTACGAGAGGGCGAGCCATGTGTGAGGACGGCTCGTTTGGGTTTCAAGTGGTGCCACTGACTAATTACCACTTGCTTGATTACTTGAAAGTGACATTACGTGTGAGTGCTGGTATGTGTAATTTGTGTGACTGGCTGCGTGAGCATATAACTAGTCGGATGACTAGATTGAAATGTTTACATATTTGTGTGACTGCGTGTGTTGTGCAATAATTTTTATTCACTGAGTTGCAAAACTCACCGCCCTTCTTTCCAAACTTCTCTTTAGTATTTAGGAAGTGCTGATCCAACTTGAAGCTCTGTCATTTTTCCACCCGGATTCTACAAAATAAATTTATAACTTTTTGTTATTTATAAGATTGAAGATTATTATTAATTATATGCGCTACTCTAATTATCCGAATCAATTGGTTTGAACTCCGCAGTTGTAGGGTCGATTGTAATTTTTCAGTTGGGCCTGCCGTATGGTTACCTTTATAGTGTATCGGTTTTTATGTTATTAATGCAGGATGCGGTAACCAGTCCTATGCCCATATTATGAATGTGATTGATTATTGATTTCTAGACCCACATACGGTAACAACTTGTTTGAAGATAATTTAAAATTGGGTTCCGAAATTATGTAAATTTATATCCATATCTGTATGGGCTTACTGTTCCTATTGACATGAAAATGTGCCTATGCCTTGAGTTTGAGTGGTTTAGAGATGTGCTATGCTTGAGTTGAGTGGTTTAGGTTTACTATGGGCCTCGGGGGCCTTAAGCTTACCTGGGTCCTAGTGCCGGTCCGGCCCACGGAAATGGGTCGTGACAGTTGCCTTAAATATACTTGTTAGAATAATTTAACAAAAACAAATAATAAATGCCAATTATATTCGATTATATGTAATATAATAAATTTATTTTTTATTCAAATATAAATAATAGAATTCATATAAATAAATGCACTCACATCTCATCCTAATTAATTAAGTATTAATATTATCTATAGGTTTTCTGTTACATATATTATAATTATAAAATTCTTAATAATAGTTGTAATTAAATTAAATATTATATGATTAAGAGTATAATTTTAATAGATGATAACTTATTAGGGCACAATTAATAAATTTAATCAAGTTTAATCAGTATATTAAATTTATGTCATTTCTTAAATATTCTTTTACACGACATAACGAAAAAATGAAAAAGTCGTTAGAACTTTTTATGTGGACTGATGTTCTTGGAGATGTTAACTTATAAGTGAAGCTAGTGTAGATGAGTCCATACCCAAACGGGTAAATTGTAGAGCCGTTAAAGAATTTGTAAGTTCGACCTGGATAGCTTAATTCATTATTTGGCCTCTATTGGTAGTTGATCAACATAATCAGCTTTATGCCAAGTAAGTGGTAGTCTTCCTCCTGAACCAAAATAAAAAAATAAAAAAATAAAAAAATTATTAAAAAAATTTCTTAATTAAAAATTATTAGTCAGTCAATTACCAGAAAAATTATTAAAAAAATTTCTTAATTAAAAATTATTAGTCAGTCAATTACCAGGATTGTATTTTCCAAAAACAACATCTGCAATGGCCTGACCTAGGCACACCAAAAGCAACATGTCCAAGCCGCTGAACCTTTTCTCGCAATGTCATGTGGTTTACTAAGTTTTTAGCCCTAACTTCATAGGGAAGGGACTTGTCACAGAAAGCAAAATTTACCATGTCCAACCCAAGGGCAGCATACCAAAAAGGTTCACACACATAAGTGAAGTTACTCCCACTAAAGGAAGCATCATTTTTGCCTAATGTGTTGGTGTCTAACGCAAAAAATGAAAATGGCTTTTTCAGTCCATTTCTAGCTGCTGTAGCAGAAATGACAAAGAAAGCAATAAATATCAGATAGATGATGAGAGTAGAACTTAAGCTTTCCGCCATAGCTTTTTTCGGTTATACAGAGGTGCTTATGGTTCTAAGACTGGTTTTGTTAATTTATAGGCAATTCTTGATTTCTTTTTGCCTCGTTGGGTTTGAATATCTTGAAACTTTCTAATTAAGCCGTTGGAGTAAGATTTCCAGTTAAGATAATATATAACATTGATTTTTTAATTTGTATATATATGCATAGAACTTAATCTTTTGTTGTCTTTTTATTTATAAAGAAAAAAAAAAGGATTATTGAATGTTTATCCAATAATATCATTCTTGATCTGTTGTTGTTTGGAAAATCTTTTCCTTACATAATTACTTTTGAAACAACAAAACAATGACTTGAATTATTTACAAAGTACTCTACTAATAACAAGTTATAGACACTCCTAAATTTATGGAATGATCTCATGTTATCTTGGAATAAAGAGCAAGGTTAAAACCACAAACATCTTGAAATTAAGACAACATCCTGGAATATGCTTGAGGCCTTCACATATAAAAATTTCAGAAAATTAATTCTTTAAATATTTACTACTTACATTTTAAGAAGTTCCATCAATAAATTTAAATTTTCATGCTTTCATACATGAGCCACCTGCCATTTTCCACCTCTAAATGGAAGGAAAAAACGCGAATTTCAAGAACCATTGCCTTATTTCCAGGATCCTATCCAGAAATGTTTCAAGAACCAGATAAATTCACTGACAACCTGTTCATCTTGTGGACACTATATTCATCCATTTAGAAGGATATGTTAGGTGAATATGCCACCGCTATATTTTACTCCGTAGGGATAACTCAAGCTTCATTTGATCCCTCAAAACTCTCCTTAATAACTTGTTAGAAGCAGTTCGAGGAAACTCAGGCACAACCTTAACCAAGCTCACCTGTCAACAATCATAGTTCAGAATCCGAACGAAATGCATCAGCAACTCAAAATAAAATAAAGCTCTTTGATAACGGGCACCACTATGTAAGTGTAGCAAATTGTTTAGTTTGATTGTCATGTGAAATATACTACACTATACCCCTAATTTCCACCAGACTGGTATGTGTGTATTTCTTTCCTGCTTTGTGGTTTAGTAATACCCCTAATTTCCACCAGACTGGTATGTGTGTATTTCTTTCCTGCTTTGTGGTTTAGTAGTCAATAGTATCACAAGCCAATTCTCAAACAACAAACTAGATCTGTCTACCCAGTTCAATCAAGGTTAGACCATTTGTGGTAGGACGAGAGGTTTGCAAAGAAGGAAAATAACTCTCATCTAATTAGGCGAGATTAGAATCTTGGTCAACAAAAATGGAAAGTAACCCACTTGTCAATTAGACCAACAGTTAAGAGTTAATGAGTCAGTTTGTGAGCTAAGTGAATTAATTATCTCGATAAAGAAGAAAATGATTTGTGTGGTGCGGAGCACGAGCCAAATGTGCATACTAAAGAAAACACATTAAATTGCCAAACCTTAAACAAAGGATTGAGGTTGCTTTGGATGGCTTTGGAGAATTTCATTTTCAACTTGTCTGGTTCACCATTAAATCCCTTCTTTAACACCACAAAAATTACCAAGAGTTCTGGACCACCATCTACTGGCGCTACACTAATTGCAGCAGTCTCCATGATGCTTTCATCGGCCCGATCGCACACACGCTCAATTTCAACAGAACTTGTCTACATAACAATGAAAAGTTAAAATTTATGGGCTTCACGAAATTAGACATCAATCTAAATACAACAGATGAAGTATCAAAAGCAAAACTACTCCTTTCTGTTGAGGATGTTGTACCTTAATGCCACCAAGATTCATGGTGTCATCAGCTCTGCCCTGTACAATGAAATAGCCCCCAACAGTTCTCTTAAGGATGTCTCCATGTCTTCTTAGGTGCTGCAAATCCATATGTGAAAATCTCAAATATAACAATTAAGCCATGGGCAGTTAAATGCTTTATTACATTTCCTTAGCTAGAGGGATTTGATAGTTCTCCAACGATGGGCAGGCTACTAAATGCTAGATGGAGATCTAACAGAACAACTGAAATTTATTGAAGCTTTTACTTAAGCTATTTGATGGCTTTGATGCAACTGATGCACGAATTGGGCAGGCTACTAAATGCTCAGATGAGATCTAACAGAACAACTGAAATTAATTTGAAGCTTTTACTTAAGCTATCTTGCATGCTTTGATGCCAACTGGACTGCCTACAACATTTACTATACAGCAAAAACGAGATGGGGGGTTAAATGCTTTATTACATTTCCTTAGCTAGAGGGATTTGATAGTTCTCCAACGATGGGCAGGCTACTAAATGCTAGATGGAGATCTAACAGAACAACTGAAATTTATTGAAGCTTTTACTTAAGCTATTTGATGGCTTTGATGCAACTGATGCCTACAACATTTATATAACAGCAAAACAGAAGTGACATCAACATTTATGTGCCATTACCTGACTAAGCAACGTATCATTATCCAATCAGTTCACAGGCATTACCATGAAGCTGAATGGCACCGTTGGAACATGAATACCGGACTAATCACATGCTTATAATTTTAGGCTCCATAAGTGATAGAAAACCAGCTAAAGAAGCCAGTAGGTTCAAAAACTAAGGTGCAGGCCATCTAATCTCGGTTAAAAAACAGGTTAAACAGATCAAAGTGGGTTAAACAGACCAATATGTTCACAAAAGGATGCATATTATGTAATCTGGGCAACAAAGCATGAAATGTCTGACTACATAAAAGAGCCAGTACTTTTTGGGCATGATATTCCTAGTAATGACAGATGTGTATCCTTTCTTGTATCTAAATGGAGAATGCTGATGTAAACCAAGCATAAAGAAGATAATCTTTTTTTCATTTCAAAAAAAAAAAAAGAAGAGAATCTTTTTTTTTTTTTTCCAGACAAAAAAAAAAAAAGATCTTGGGAGATTTTATAATGCTTACTCTCAAAGCTTCATCAGCAATCAAAATGACAAGAAAAAAATTTAATGAACGTGGCGCTAACTAAAAATTGAGGCATGGTCTAAGGATGACAAAAAGAAGCATACCATTCCTTTAAACATTGGCATTCCCTTGAAATAAACTTCATAATGATCAGCATTAAGCATTCTATCACTTGCTCCTAGGTACAGAGGGAATAAACCCACTTCACCAACACAAGGTTGATAATCAGGCTGTCACACAGGTCAAAGAAATCAGATACACACATAGAAAAGATAAATTAGTGTAACAGACATTGAATTTATAATCATGATAATCCTTACATAAGGAACTCCATTTTCATCAAGGATGACAAGGCCCGTTGTCATTGATGCAGTGCTGAATGCTCCAAAAGCTTGTGGCTGCAATTGACATCCTTGGATATATGACGATGCAAGCTCTGTGCCTCCACAACATTCAGTAATGGGCTTGTAATAAGATCTTGAAGAGAGCCAAAGGTCATCATCTACATTGGAGGATTCTCCAGTGGAACAAAAGGATCTGCAAATATATTTTTCATTTGCTTTTTCATAGTTTGGAACTATATCATATATTGATTTCTCAAATATTAGAAGGAAGATTACTTTATCTTTGTCCAATCTAAGCCTTCCATGCAGTTGGTACTCTTCCAAGCCTTCACTAAACTTGGAACTGTACCCAAAATAGTTACTCCAGCATCCTGAAGAAATATAACAGAAGAATTATAAAGCAGAAGTTTGCTAGCATATGTTGAAAGCTTTTATTTTTAATACTCATGGAGGGACCTATGGCTATGAAAACACAAGGACACTTTTCTATTTTCTCTCCCATTGTTTAGGTTTCAATAATGTTCTAGACCACAGCTTCCACTGTCTGGAAAGCCAACAGCAGTCTTCTCTAGTTTCCACTAGCAAAGCTAACAAACTGGAAAAGTAACTTACGAATCTGTTTTCCTTTCGAGGGCTAACAAAGTTTGATTGAAAATTGGCACAACAAAAGTTAAATGATTACTCATCATCCAAAAGGTTTCATACTGATGGTCATATTCTCAGGACCAGCAGGCTCCCATTGTTGGCCCAGATTCCCACATTATATTTCAGTGTATTGTTTTTCAAACATATTACTGCATCTCCTCATGGGTATGACTTATAAGTATAGCTTTTATTTGAGCACAAATAGCCAAAGCAAAGCCCAAATGAAGGAGGAGAACTGCAGAAAAGGTAGCAACCAATATAAAGCTTTATCACATCTCCTGATATGGATCCAAACAGATATAATATTGGGTGTAATCTAGTGCTAAACCGAGTGCAATGGAGAAAAAGGATCTACATAGTTGAATTAAGTATTTTTCAAATATATATTACTTTCACTGAATTGAACGGCAACAACTTCACATCACAAGGATCAATATTTAATGCGAAAACATAATGTTGACTTTTAGTACAGTGGAAAATAAACAATGGAGACATACCTGAACAAATTTTCCAAACTCACGGCCAAGAGGGGATCCATGAAAGAGAGCAAGAGTTGCACCGCTTAAAAAGCATGAGTACAGTAAAATTGGTCCCATCACCCATCCTAAATTTGTAGGCCAGCAGTAAACATCACCAACTTGAACATCAACGTGAGCCCATGCATCACTAGCACATCGGATTGGAGAAAGTTGTGTCCATACAATAGCTTTTGGTTCTCCTGATTTGGACCAATAGCAGAAAATCAGTTGCTAACAGGAGAGGCGATGTACAGTTATCAACACACGTGTTTCAGAAAGTTCTTACCTGTGGTTCCAGATGAAAAGAGTATATTGGTCATAGAATCTGCTGATTGATAGACAGGAAGGAAATAATTTGGTCTGCAACAAAGGAAAATCACTATATTTACATGGATTGCAATGCAAGTGTGAGAAAAATTAGTTTGAGACAGTTGTCACATTGCAATTTAACTCAAGAATCAAACTCCTCTTTTTCTGAATCGAGAATCAAATTGAACAATAGGATTTAGTATAAATTCCAAAAATAATTGAAAATAATATGTATCTGTGTAAAAGAAACAACACATATCAATATGATAATATTCGATAATATTGAGAAATAATATGGTCTTCTGGAGTGTGCTTCCCTGTAAAAGATCTTTTTATGGTAAGATTAAGAATTGAATTTAAACATGTTGATACTACAAATCCAATAGAAAACAATCTTGCAAATCAATTGATTCAAACTTCATTCGAATCGGCCTCAACTCAAGTATATTTGTGATTTGGCCAGTAGATTTGAATCGAAAGGAGAGAATTGAATCAAATCATATCATTCTGAAAATCATGTCTTGACATATTTAATTGTCTGTGACATAGCTAAAGATGAACTGGAAATTATAGTAATAATCAGGCCCTTGTTAATTGTAATACTAGATAACTTCAAAATTGGAGATTTGGAAATACCTTGGAAGGTGATTGACACTGGACAGAAAATCTTTCCATGACATATCCTGCTGCCTTAATCGAATGCCTACATCATTCCCCATCACAGGGAGCACAATGACTTTATGTGGAGTAGCTTCTACAACACGACTATTAAAAAAAGAGACAGAGAGAGAGAGAGAGAGAGAGGAGCCATAACATAATGAGTCCAGTGCAATATTAAAATTATCATATCTCGTAAATCTAACAGATATGGTAATTCCATTCAAAAAAAAGAAAAAAAGAATTTAACATGATAGTTTTGACTACCATCACTGCAAGTGCTTCATAATAAAGTAATTTCAGAAAGTTTTCTAAAGACATATCATATCTAATCTAAGAAAAATGAAATCCACCGGTTCCTGTACAAGTGATTTAGAGTACCCTTTCTAGTAAATTGGATGCTCCAATAAGGGCTTCCACCAAGGTAATGATGCTCATTTGATTGGATATTTCAGAGGGCTCCCTGATTATTAGGGATTATTTTCCTAATGCATATTGTAAATATTATCTTCCTAAACTATTTAGTTTCCGATTCTAGAACTAGACCTTGTATATATATAAGTTGCTATGTAATACCCTAAGACATATTGAAATAGAAAAACTCATTGATTTCTCTTCAAAATATTGAGTTTCATCACCTCTCTACTAATACTATAAAGAAGCAACTACCTATAGTTTTATATGCAAATGCTATCACTTGTACGGGCATGATAGTCATAAGAACACCTCCTAGCAAGACAATAGTTAAGTCGGTTTCTTTTTGCTCTGAAATTATCAGAAGTGGAATGGAAAACTTCTTAGAAGATCACCTATCCTAAGAATTTTCTCAAGCGAGCACATTTGACCCCGAAGTTCTTCCAATTCTCTAGGCTATTTCACCAAAAGACATCTCTAATGATTAGTTCTCCTGTATTGCACGCAGTGACGGAGGCCAGGAATTTTTCATAGGTGGGCGAAAACATGTTTGTCTTCATAAAGTGAATAAAAAATAAACCTGATTAAAAAAAGCCTAAAAATAATGTAATTACATGAACAAATATATTACATGTAATCAAAATATTTTTTTAATGAAAATTCTATAAATAAGAACAAAATAATATTTTTTAGTATACATAATGACTTTCGATAGGAAAGAAATAATTTCCTAAAATTTACAGATTAGAAATTACAATAAAAATAAATGTTAATATTTAAAATTTCAAATATGTTATTGTGATTTTAAAATTTAATCAATTCAATTTCATATTTTTTTCTAAAAACTATTAAAATAGAATCATGAACTATATTATTAAATTCATCTTTTTGAATAAATTAAATACCATATATTAAATATCATGTGTTTATTCAATGAATTTAGAATCCTAAAGTTTTTTTCAACTTGTTAAATTTTAATTAAATAGCAAATAATAAACAATTGAAATATAAATTTATAATAATATTGTATATTTTAATATTTATTCCTGGAATTCAAACTTGAACATCAGGAGCCACACCACTAAGCTAAAGAGTTCATAGTATCTAAAGGCCATTAGAAAATTTTACTGAAGTCAAGGGGTTTGGTGCCCCTCCCCCACCTCCCTCTCCGTTAGTGGTTGCACGAAAACGGAAACGCAAAAACGGATATGGGGAAACAATATTTTTAAAGACATAAAAAACAAAAACTTGGGAAACGCATAAATGTGAAAAATATAGGATTATATTTATAAATATCCCATTAACCCCCACCTCCCTCTCGGTTAGTGGTTGCACGAAAACCGGAAAAAAACGCAAAAAACCGGATTATTTGGGGAAACCAAATATTTTTAACAGGACATAAAAAAACACAAAATAACTTGGGAAAACGCATAAATGATGAATAAAGTATAGGGTCTATATTTATTATAAATTATAAAAAATCATAAATTATTATAAAACTCATTATCTTAATATATTCCAAACAAGTCCAACATCAATATTCTAATTTCATAATTCATCTCAAAAGAAACATTAGCAAGTTCCATACCTTATAAAAATAATACATGTTTTTTTATGAATTGTATTCTTTATTTATACATTTATTTTAAATTAGAGTGGAATATGAGTTTTTGGGAGTTTTTTCAGTTTACGGAAAGCCCGGTACTTTAGGAACGAGTTTGGAAACCTTTGTTCCGAAAATTACTCAATTACGGGAAAACGGCCCTGCAACGTTTTCCGTAGGAGGTTTTGCAATGGGCGGTTTCCACCGGCAGGAAAGACGGGTTTCAGGAAACTGCAGAAATGCATGCTAAAGAGAAAGTTCGATTTGGCGGCGAGACATAGGCCCATTTTTCGAAATGTGCAGATTCAATTCCATTTCTGCCCGGGCTTTGGTGCATACTCCCCCACTACCCTACGGTAACTTCACCATGCTTAGGCATTAACCTGCCAAGGGGCAGGCCGGCTCATTGCTCCCACCTTCTTTGCCTCGGAGCCACTTGCCCCACCTTCATTGTGATCCGCCTGTCCCAAGTTGGCGCGCATATTGTCACAAGCATTAGTCCACCAGCTTCCGCTGGTCTCATATCTTGAATCTGGCATACCATCCTGTAACTACACAACTTAACTCCCATACACTTAGAGCGAGTTGCTTCCACTCATAACTCCTTTCACGGTTTTGTCTTCCGTGTACCGTGGGCGAATGAATAAACTTCGTAAAAGAATGTTCCAACCATCCGGTAGGATTTCTATCAAATGAGAACGCTACCTTCCAAATGTTTCTGGCTCAACTCTCCGAGGCCATTCCACCAAAAGGCCCATTTATGTTCGTATTAGTTTACGGTCCGCGATTTGGGCTTCATCATTGGTGGAAATTTTCGATTCACTGTCTTAGTTGTTAGTCTTTATAATAATATTGTATATTTTAATATTTATTCCTGGAATTCAAACTTGAACATCAGGAGCCACACCACTAAGCTAAAGAGTTCATAGTATCTAAAGGCCATTAGAAAATTTTACTGAAGTCAAGGGGTTTGGTGCCCCTCCCCCACCTCCCTCTCCGTTAGTGGTTGCACGAAAACGGAAACGCAAAAACGGATATGGGGAAACAATATTTTTAAAGACATAAAAAACAAAAACTTGGGAAACGCATAAATGTGAAAAATATAGGATTATATTTATAAATATAAAAAATATAAATTATTATAAACCATTAAATATATTCAACAAGTCCAATCAATATTTAATCATATTCAAAAGAATTACAAGTTCCATACTTATAAAAAAATACATGTTTTATGAATTTGTATTTTATTTATACATTTATTTTAATTAGAGGAAATGAGTTTTTGGGAGTTTTCAGTTTACGGAAACGTATTTAGAGAGTGGAAACTTGTTCCGAAATTACTCAATTTACGGAAACGGCCCTGAACGTTTCCGAGGAGTTTGCAAGCGTTTCCACGCAGGAAACGTTTCAGAAACGCAGAAATGGCAGCTAAAGGAAGTTTCCGTGCAACATAGCCCATTTTCGATGTGAGATTCAATTCATTTCTGCGCTTTGCATTCCACTACCCTAGGTAACTTCACCATCTTAGTAACCTGCCAAGAGCCGCTCATTGCTCCCACCTCTTGCCCCGGAGCCACTCCCCACCTTCATTGGACCGCTTTCCCAGTTGGATTGTCACAAGCCCACCAGCTTCCGCTTGGTTCATAGTCTGAATCTGATACCATCTGTAACAACTTAACTCCAACCACTAGAGGAGTTGTCCACTCATAATCCTCACGGTTTTGTCTCGTGAGTGGAATGAATAACTTCGTAAGATGTCAACCATCCTAGGATTTCTATCAAATGAGAACGCTTAACCTCAAAGTTCTGTCAACTCTCCAGGCCATTCCACCAAAAGGCATCTATGTTGATTAGTTACGTCATTTTCAATGTGAAATTCGATTCATTCTTGTGCTTCGCATTCCACTATACTAGGTAGCCAACTAGGAGCAGCTCACTGCTTAGGCCTCTTACCCTAGCGCCACTCTCCACACTTGTCGGACCACTTTCCCAGGTCAGATTATCACATATACAATATTTTGACAACTCAACTACTGGCCAGTTGAAAACTGATAGTTGTTCAACCAGCAACATGTTTTCTGCTTTAATCAGGAACTTATCATTTGTTTCAAAGAATCATTAAATAAAAGAAAACAGCAACTCAGAAGTCATTATTATTGATCCATTCATCTCAAAAGCTAAGATTTCCAAGAATCAATTGAGTTGAGTAACTATGCTACCTATTTAATGCCAATAGCATTTAGAAACATTAGTCTTTTTGATGCACATTTGAACCCCCAAAAAATGATGCACTGTTGACTAAGGATGCAGATATAACCATAACTTCCTTGGTTTATTCTACAATTCAATTGAAGTTAAGCACACATAAATAATCCACAGCTCTAAGGAGCTTTTCACAATTTCATCTCTAGAGAATCGGTTGCATCACGGACCTTATGGTGGCAGCATCATCCAAATTAGAGGGCTCAGTTAAGATGATTTAATTTCAGATACAAGGTCCCCCATCACAACAATTATCAAAATTAGAAAGTGCTACCTGTACAATGGAAATTTCCGTCCCCCTCTGAGTATAAAATCCTGAATAAAGAACAGCAAGTATCAAAGCCCCCAAAAGAGAAAACAGAGAGAGAGAGAGAGTAACATATGCAAACTGAAACAGAACACATGTATTCAGAGAAAATGTGCATTTCTAAATGCAAGTTATTCAATTCTCAAAATTAGCTATGGGTCCATTTAGATAGATAGTCATCCAAATCATCAAATATTTGGAATTTGGCACCTACTAATTTTTTATGATTTTCTCTTGATGCTCAAATCCAATCCACATTCATTTCAAATGACTATCTGTACTAATGAACACATAGGAAGTGTAAATAAGGTCATATTAAGAAGTGAGAAACAAAGGGACAGAGAAAATTTCTCTTTTATGTTTGAGTAAAAGGACAAGTTTCATTACTTATATTTTATAGATAATTTCTCATTTGAAGCAAGAAGCATAGAAAACAGAAGTAGAAAATTTGGTTAGCATAAAAAAGGGAGTAATCAATCAGCAAAGACAAGCAATAAAAAGGGTGTAACCAATCAGCAAAGACAACAAACAGATTTTATTGAACTAGAGAGCAATATAAATGAATATTAAACCACTCTTTCACAAGTTCGACCAGCCCAAGTCACTTAAGAGGTTTAGCAGAAGTCAAAAACTGGAATTCCAAAACTATTGCCATGTCAAATGCTAAGGAAAAAGACCTATCTTCAGCACACAGAAGGCTCATAAAGGAATCATATATATTTTGGACCAACTAATTTCAAATCCTTTGGAAATTTTATTGCTTTCACGCGCTGCAACATGAAAACAACACATTACCTGAGTAAAGATAGCTTTAGCATTGGAAATACGTAAACGACTGGCAATTTCCTTGGCTGCAAAGCTGTCAGCTATTGATACAACAACCAATCCTGCTAATACAATAGCCAGGTATATAACAACAGCATTGACTGTCATTGGCATGTCAATTGCAACCGCATCACCCTTTGTAAACATTGCATGAAGTGCATTAGCTACCATCCTGCAACACAATATGTTTACATGGAAAATGGCTGAGAACTCTCTTTTATCACAATTTTACAAAATGGAAATATTATTTATTGTCTCTTCAACTGTTTAAAAACAACCTTTTGTAGTAAGGTCATATTTTATATAATTATGATAACATTGGAACCTCACTAATCAGACACCCATTTGAATCCAATGTAAACAAAATCAATTATCATAACATCTCATTACCCTATTGAAAACGGAAGCATAAAGCACAAAAAAAAAAGAATAGGAATCAGATAAGCACATGAAGCATTACATTACTTGTTCTCGAAGTTCTTTCAATGTCATATGATTCACTTTGGAATTATCATTTTCATCTCTCCATACAATTGCCATGCTGTCATCATTTTTTCTAGGATGATTTGCAGGCTGCAAACAGCATTCAGCAATATTCAGAGCTGAACCTGGCAGCCATGATCCCCCATGTTTCGATTTGTCAGTGGTGTCAAGAATACACTTTGGGGCTTCATGAAATACAATTGAAAGCTCTCTTAGAACAATTGACCAATAAGCCTGGAAATTATTTGTAAACAGTAGATTGAGTAGAAAATGCAACTTATAAAATACAAAACTTCAATATGCTTACCTCAATGATATACAGAGATGAAATGAGTGCTTACCTCAGGATATTGAACAGAGTATTTATGAAATAAGTTGAAACTTGTTAAAGGGTCCTTGTATAAAGGACCTAAGAGATTAGGCCCATGGATTTCCATTGCACGTCCTAAGTTTGTCCCTTTTGATTGATGTCTGGCATATAGATAAAGGTTGGAATTTTGAATCAGTTCGGAGAAGATAACTGATGTTTGATTTATTAACTGAGCATTTTATGAAAATCCAGAAGAAAATCAATTTGACCATAACACAGCAGTATACATCTCAAGCCAAGATGTAACATTCAATTTCAGCTGTTACTCACACTAAGTACCAACCACAACAAGTTCAAGGGTGTTTGATTCAACCAGGTTTAACTACATAAATCACAGACCAGTTGCATATGATCAACATTATTCAGATCATGAAGCATTACAATTAGTCTAGGGCCTATGCACAAAATGGATTAGGGTTATGTCTCTTTCATAAAGATAGCAAAACATGTAAATTTAAGTTATTCAAATTGATAACTTGACAAAAAAATAAGGTACAGTCACGCAGATGCACACTTTAGCATCATTAATCAATAGACCTAAGAGCTCAAGCTTGTAGGTGACAGCCCAAGAATAGTTTATATTTCTAGCAGAACTGAACTCAAAATGTAAGCCTCAAACCAAAACAATTGAAATCAGCAATCAACTAAAATTTGCATTAATCAATTTTACTATTCTCAATGATTCCTTCCAATTTGAACCCTACATGAATTACCAGATCACGTTATTGTTCTGAGTAGTCTGATGTAAATGGATAGACAACGAACTCAGAAAAAAGAAAATGTTTACTAATTCCAACGGTTTTTTCAAAAAAGAATAACAGTCAAATTACGAATAAACTAATAGTATATGGTGCCAAAGGAAATAATTCAATAAATTCAAGAAACTAGAGGCATTTTCAACAACTCAAAGCATCAAATAAAACCATGATCCATGATTCAAGGTCAAAAGTGAAATCACAACACGATCACAGAGAGAGAGAGAGAGAGAGATTACAGGGAAGGAAACCAATAAAGAGGAGGTCCATTGACAGAAGAATCCCAATGAGCATAAACAGAATAATAAATCAATTGGTGCAATCCATGAGGGTGCCATGGTTTCAAAATTCTTTTAGACACCACATTTTTCCAAACCTCTTTTGGGTCAGACCCATTTGCTAATCCAATTGCTTCTTTGAGGATTTTGTGAAATTCTTTGGCTTCCTCCATTGATAGACCTGCTTTCACTATGTCCTCCACTGCAACATTATCGATAGACATTGTGTTCTTCTTCTCCATTATGCTCTCCCCAGCGTCTACTTTATTAGCGTCTCTCTCTTTCTTGTTTTTTTCAAATCGACCACGTCTAGACTGCAATGAAAGCAATTGATAGTGGCAGCCATGAAGGGTAGGAGACACGGTAGGTGGAAATTTTCTGGACTGGAAGTTCAGACACGTGAGGACTGAGTAAGGAAAGCCAGGTAGCCAAATGAGGTGGGAAATTTACTCTCATGTTACCATAGCTATTTATTACGGAAATAGCTTAAAGATGAATTTGGTCCTCTAATTTTTAAATAGTCCACCTAAGTCTAAAAGGTTTTTTCTTTTATTAACTTTACACTTTAACTTTATTATCTTGATTCAATTTCATCCTCTTTTTATTCAAAAATAATAAAAATAATAAAGGGATGTATTGGATTGAGACTCTGTTAGATTTTAAAAGATTTTTACAATCTTTGGATTGAAAGATAAATTTGTGAATGACTGTTTTATTTATATCTAGCACTTCAACATCCAATGAAATCAATAATTTTATAGAATATTTTCAAATCAATAATTTTTTTAATATCATCAAATTTGTATAGACTTTTAAAAAGTTATAATTGAATGTCATCAACTTTTTATGGATTTTAGGAGAGTTTGAATTGAATCTCATAAAATTTTAATAGAATCCGAGAAAATTTAGATTGAATACCATTGAAATTTCAGATCTTTCATTGTTGGAAGTGGTAGTGGTAAAGTTTTAACGAAGAAGAGAATGATTTTTCAGAAAATAATGCATTTTATTTTTTGTCCCTCATTTTTTTTAGTTTTTCAATTGAGCTAAAATTTTTTTAATTTATTCAATTAAGTCTTGAAATTAATTTCGATTGGATATATAAAAATCATTGTAATTTCATCAGAGTCAATCAAAGTATATAATTAAAAAAAAAAATCACCAATTCTATAAAACTCTATGTAGAATTATAGTAAAATATGTGAAAATCTTAAAAAATCTTTTAATTCCATTAAGCTCAATAATTCTTTTAAACTACACCTCCTAAAATAAGTAATTTTTATTTTTCTAATGGCTTTGTCATTTAAAAATAAAAAGAAAAAAGAAAAGAAAGAAAGTTGTCGTCTTTCCCGTTCACCTAATCTATTACGTTTTGTTTCCAATTCTCTTATATTTGTTTTAATTTTCAATATCGGAATCAAATTCAAAAACTACAATTTACATGTTTTTTCATGTTATATCTCATTCCCTTCACCATCAATCACTAGAATTAGAATAAAATAATAAACTAAGGACCTACATATAATGAGGCGATGATCAAAATATAAATATCATATTTAAGATATTTACGCTATCGTAACTGGATAAAATGAAAATTTTGGGTCACTTCGGTAAAATTAGCTATTTTGGTATTTATTAGTTGTTTTAGCAGCATTTAGTTGTTAACTGTTTAAATAGTTTTTCATAAAATGGTAAAATTTAAGCGTTACATAGGTTAACTTTTTATAAAATGTTAAATTAACCTTTAAAAGTTAGTTGAAACATTATGTTACCGAATATTATAAGAAATAGTATTAAGTTAATTAAAAAGTTGTCGAACACAACATTTACCCTAATAGCTTTTCATATAGCTTTTAGTCAAAAACACTACTTTTATTATTTACAATTTGGTAACGTAACGTTTATATTAGATTTAGATAGAAGCAAATTCCTATAACGTTTGATGAAACACTACTTAAACAACTGACAATAATAGAAGAGTCAACACTACTAAAACAACTAATTTTACTGAACAAACCTTATAAATAGAGATTATTTAGTTGCACAAGTAATTCCTAGTATAGAGATAAAATCTTCATGTATCCGTTACTGTTGTATAAATATTTTTGATAAGATATTTATATTTTGGTCCTCACCTTATTATCTCTAGGTCCTTAGTTTATTATTTTATGGGTAAAATATTTTGACATCCCTAAGTTATAGTTCAATTAACACTTATATCGTTCTATATTGAGGTAATAATTATGGCTTGTTTTAATAGTGTTTAACTGTTAGCTGTTTGAGTAGCTTTTCATAAAATGCTAAAAAGTTAAACGTTACATGTATTAACTTTTTATAAAATACTACCTTAACCTTTCATAAAATGGTTTTTTATAGAAAATTAAGCGTTTACATTAGGTTAACTTTTTTATAAAATGTCTAAAATTAACCTGTTAAAAGTTTAGCCGGAGTTTGGAAACATCTATGTTACCGAAATATTATAGAGAATAGTATTAAGTTAATTAAAAAAAAGTTGTCGTAACACGAACATTACCCTAATAGCTTTTCATATTAGGCCTTTTTTAGTCAAAAACACTACCTTTTTCATTATTATACAGATGGCTAGACGTAACGTTTATATTAGATTTAGATATGCAAAGCAAATTCCCGCAATATAACGTTTGATAAACACCTGGCTTTAAGCACAACGTGGACAATCATAATCAGAAGAACTGTCAACACTCACAAAAAATCAATACTTAATATATATATACTGAACAATACCCTATTAAATATGAGAATTATTTTTTTAGTTTGCACAAGTTAATTCCTGTATTAGAGATAAAATCTTCATGATGCCGCTCTACTGTTGTTTATAACATATTTTCTATGATCAACGATATTTATATTTTGGTCCTACACCTTATCTGTATCTCTAGGTCTCCTTCAGTTTCTATATATTTATAATGGGTAAAACTAATTTTGAACAATCCTGCTATAAGTTTATAGTTCAATTAACACTTCGTATATCCGTTCATATATGTGCATGGGTAATAAATAGAATTTGTATGCTTGTTCCTTATATAGCTGCTTTATAACTCGTTTAGCTGTGCTTGAGTATGCTTTTTAACTAAAATCAAAAATATAGTTAAAACGTTACATGTATTAAAACTTTTTTATAAAAATTGACTACCCTTATACTCTAAAAAGCTTATATTCTAACACGCTATGCTTACGCTGAAACTACTATTTTATAATTAATGTTTAGTTTTTAAAACGCTAAAAAATTTCATCCTTAAAAAGTTGTCTGCTCTCTTCAACATGTTAGCTGTTTGAGTAGCTTTTCATAAAATGCTAAAAAGTTAAACGTTACATGTATTAACTTTTTATAAAATACTACCTTAACCTCTAAAAGTTAATTCAAACGCTATGTTACTGAACACTATTTTTAATAATGTTTAGTTAAAACGCTAAAATTACTTAAAAAGTTGTTGTCCAACACAAGCTTTATCTTAATAGTTTTTCATACAGCTTTTAGTCAAAACACTACTTTTATTATTTACAGTGTTCGGTAACGTAGCATTTATATTAGTATTTAGATGGAGCAGCTTCCTATAACGTTTGATGAAACACTAGTTAAATAATTGAGAACTAATAAGAAAGTCAACGCCTACTAAAACTAACTAATTTTGCCAAACAAATCTTATAAATAGAGATCGTTAAGTTGTACAACTAATTCCTAATATAGTAGAGATAAAATCTTCATGTACCAAGTTACTGTTATATAAATATCTTAGATAAGATATCTATATTTTGGTCCTCACCTTATTATCCCTAGGTCCTTAGTTTATTATTTTATAAGGAAAATACTTTGACATCCCTAAGTTATAGTTTAGTTAACACTTACATCATTCTATATTAAGATAATAACTATGACATCCTTAAATTACTAGTTTATCGGATAAATAGGTCCTTTTGTCTAATTTCACACTTTTTCATCATCAAGGATTTGTGCAAAGACCAAAATACCCTTAACTAAAAAAGAGCCCATCATTTCTCACCTAATTGAGATTAATTTCTCTATATAGGTTTGTTCTGTTTGTAAATTGTTTCAAAATTATTGTCTAACTCAACCTTCCATGGCTCTATCATTTCTAGCTTGGCACTCGATTCACCGCTCCTAATCTCCTTCTTCTCAAACACTAACTTCAATTCCAAATCCTTCCGTTATCGATCAAAATATGCACTAGACAAAGTTGAAGAGGAAAGTCCACAAGGATTTTAACGAACTCAAAGTTTCAGGTACTAATTAACCTACTCTTGTTCCCTTCAAAGTGTTGATATTGAAGTTGTCAATTATAAAGCATTCTATTTTTCTTTTTAGATCTTCTTGTTCTTGAGGAGCTAGGTAAGGCTCGTGGTTCGAGTGTTATATGGGTTCGTTGGCTTCTGGTTTGCAAATTAGGGATTCTGTGAAATAATTTGGAAAAACCCTTTATTACGTTTGGTTCGCATGAAACAAAGGGTAAATTGGAGTTTTATATATCTCCTCTCTCTTCCCCATCCAATTTATTTGAATTTTTAATAGTGAAAATGAGTGAAATTGGATGGAACGAACTACTTATCTGATGGATTAATAATTTACGATGTCGTGGTTATTGATTCACTATAGAAGAACATAAATGTTAATTGGACTATAACTTAGGGACATCAAATTATAAGTATTTTACTCTTATTTGATTTTGTCAACTACTTATCTCAAATTTCAGACACCATCATCAAAGGTAAATGTATAACTTATTATTAACTTTTAAATATTTTTTTTAAAAATAATACTCTCTCGTGCCATTTTATTTGTTTGTTATTTATTTTTTAGATGTTTCAAAATATTTACAAAGTTTCTAAATTTAAATATGTAAATAATTATCTTTCTCGTAATAACCTTTATAATTTTTCATTAAAATTTCAATGAGTTAAAGGTAACAAATGGTAAAATAATTTTTATTGATTAAATTCTTAATATGCGTATTTTGTCAAACCATACAAATAAAGTGAGACGGAGAGAATAATATTGATTGTCCACTAGTTAACTGCGACATTGCTGGCCTAATTTCAAAAGTGGTTTTGTGTTTGATTGGCTAGCAGACACACACCAGTCAATCAGATAATAAATAGAAAGAGGTAAGGAATAAAATGAGAAGGAAAACAGCCAACAACTCTATTATCCTGATCAATGTTGCATGAAGACTCCCTTTCACTGTGATGTTCACGTTTCATAAACGTTTTCAAAAACTCCTTGAAAATATTTCGGGGTTATTTCCTTAAATTGGGTAATTTGAAAAATACATTTTCATAAATTGAAAATTCTTCAAAACTCATTTCTCTAATCTATAATATATAATCTATAATGTGTACTGTATATAAATGTGAAAACAGGGAGGAATAATGAAATTTCCTATAATAGCCTTAATTTAATTTGTAATTCCTAATATTTCTATTTAGTTAGATTTTTTATGAATTTGAATTGGAGAAATTGTTTATCCTTTTAAAGATTTTTTTTAGTTTATATTTTTTTTATTTTCTTTTAATTGGAGAAAATAGATTCTATTCATTCTTTTGAATATCCTTTTCATTAGATTTTTTATTCATTTTAATTGGAGAATATATTTATTAGTTTAGATTTTTTTATTGAATTTGAATGGAAGAAATTGGTTTATCCTTTTTAAAGATTTTATTAGTTTACTATTATCTTTTTTATATCTTCTTTTTAATGGAGGAAAATGGATCCTCTATTTCATTCTTTTGCGAATATCCTTTTCATTAGATTTATTATTCATTTTCTAATTGGAGAATCTAACTATATTATATAGTAGCTTTATATATATATAATATATATTAGTTATATATATATATATATATGTATATGTATTTTATGTATTTGATCTCGCATTATTATTGTCTAATAATTTTTATAATTAATAGATTTTAAGGTTTTCAGGTGATATTGTTTTTTAGAAGGTAAATAGAAAATCTTAATTCAGGTATTGAAGATGAAATTTAAATTTTTAATTAATTACATTCTGAATTTTTTAAAATATGAGTAAATACTTTACTGTTAGACTCTATTAGTTACATACAATGAAATTAAAACATATATATATATATATATATGTATATGTATTTTATGTATTTGATCTCGCATTATTATTGTCTAATAATTTTTATAATTAATAGATTTTAAGGTTTTCAGGTGATATTGTTTTTTAGAAGGTAAATAGAAAATCTTAATTCAGGTATTGAAGATGAAATTTAAATTTTTAATTAATTACATTCTGAATTTTTTAAAATATGAGTAAATACTTTACTGTTAGACTCTATTAGTTACATACAATGAAATTAAAACAAAATTCTTTAAATATATTCTTTCTCTTTGATTTTTTTGGAGATGATGGTGTACACTTATTTAGACTATTTACACATTATTGTATTTGATGAATATCATATAAAAAAGTTTTTTCTATTTTAATCTAATAAAATCTTATGAACAAATACACTGTAAAAGTTTCGATTAATGAAAAAATGGCTATTGGGCATATTTGCTATCATTTTCATTTTCAATTTTTCTATACTAAAGATAAAATGGTGACAAAATTCAAGAGCTCTTATTTTATTCAATATTTATTCTTTTTTTTTAAAAAAAATTTATGGAATTTTATTTAATTTTTTTATGATTTAATTGGATGTATTTTTTTGAAAATTAATTCTTAAAATAGATATAATGATAATTAGTTTGAAATTTAAATATTTTTAAATAAATATATAGAATTTTTAAATTTTTAAATTTAATCTCATATATATCTATAAGTTGAAATAGGATCTTCTATTATCAATATTATTTTTTGCACATTGATTTTTAAGTTACACATTAACATTTATTTATGTCATGTTGAAGCTTTTTAGCAAAGAAAAAATCTTGAAATAATAGAGATTAAAATAGTTGCATGTTAAATATAGAATTAGATATTGCAAAATTTTTAGTTACTTTTAAATATATTTTTAATTTAATGAGTAATAATAGTTTTTTTTCAACGAGTTTGATTTTTTATCACTCTTTTTAAAATGGTAGTCCTTTTATTTTTTTATTTTATAAAGTATATTAATCAAATGGGAGAGAAATACTTTATATCGCTAATTTTAAATGAGTAAAAATACATGTTAATTTTATTATTTTTAATCAAAATAAATAGTAATATAATTTAATAACAAAATTTATTTAAACAATGACAAAAAGATGTCACGTTGTCGATGACATGTCAAATACAAGAAAAAAAAAAATTTAAATGTATGGCCGAATGCATAATTTCTGCCTTGAACTTTCATTCAATAACCATTTGTGCCCCTAAACTTCACTTTCAACCTGTTGTGCCCTTACAGTTTTTTTTTTTTTTGTTTTTTTCTTTATGATTAGACCCCTTGCCACGCTGGAATGCCAAAGCGTGTTCAAATGCTCAGAAGCGAGTGAACCTAAGGAATGGGTCCAACCCGCAGTTCTTTTCTTTAAATTACTAATAATTATCTTTAAAATGATACTTCACAAAAAAATGATAAGGCAATTCCATTTCCAAATCCTATCTATAAAAAAACCTAAAAAATTTCTCCACAAATTTTTCAATAAAACCATATTTGTTTTGAGAATGATTAGAAAATTAAGTTACAAATTACACTAAGGCTCCGTTTTGTCCTAGAAAAATAATTTATCTTTGGAAAATATTTTTTAAGGTGAAAAATATTTTCCAAATAACTTATTTTCTATTATTTGATTATAATATTGAAAATTAATTTAAAATATTAAATATTTTTAACTCATAAGACCATAATAATAATTAATAATAATAATAATAATAATAATATATTTAACTCATAAGACCATAATAATAATAATAATAATAATAATAATAATATATTTCATATTTTAAAAATTTTATTATTAAATATGAGAATTCATGAAGAAAATGATAAATCATGAAAGTCGCCGATAGCCCGTGATTGTGGCCGGTGGTGGTGAACGGTGAATGGTGGTAATGGCTATCAATGATTAATAAATTAAAAAAAATATGAATTTATAAGGTTATTATAAGTTTGACAAAATCCGAAAAATGTTTTAAGCTCTTAAAAATGGAAAGTCATTTTCCTTAAAAATGACTTAATTTTCCTTTTATCAAGAAAATATTTTTAAAAATGACTTAATTTTCCTATTTTTCGGTGACTTATTTTTCTGAATGCTTCCAAACAACGAAAAATTGTGAAAAATATTTTCTTATAAATTAATTTACGAAAACAAACTGTGCCTAAATAGAATTATATTAGCATATAAAATTACACAAACAAACCACTGAATTTCTTAATTGGAAATCCAATATATTCCAAAGAAAATGACTAAATATATATATATATATATATAAACTAGCTCTATAATACTAATCAACTGAAAAAGGGAATTGCTTTGAAATGAAAAAAAAAAAAAAGGAAAAGAAAAGAAAACACAGATCATCCTTTCGTTATCTAGAAAAACTTATTTATCTCTCTGCAATTACTTGAATTATTAAATACATATCAAAACAAAGATATTGAATCTCTTAAGAGATACATGCATCCCCCTCAATCCTGTCAAATTACTTTCTCTCTCCTATAATTGGTTTCACTGCTGCAAAAGAAGATGATGAGAAAGAGAAATAAAAATAGGTGGAAAAAGAAAATGGAAATAGAAAGCAAGAGGTCGAAGTGGACATGCAACTCAGCTCATCATCACTAATCACAAGATGGACATCAACCTTCATTTTAGAAAAAAAATTCAACTGTATAAAATCTCAGATCTTACCTTGATTTTCTGGGAATCAAATTGGGTAAAAATTGAATCTCTCTCAAATTTACTTCCTTCAATTGAGTGTATGAATTTGTTGGGCGGGTGAAGATGGTAAAACCCTAAAAAAAAGATCAAGGAAGCAAGAGACAGAAGAACGACTATTTAGCACTCTGAGAGTTTGATATAGGTAGAGAAGGAGATGAGAGGAAGAGATTAATCAGTATTGAAAGAATCTTCAGAGAAAGAGGAGAGGAAGAGAGCATCTAAAGCTTGCGTATACGTGTAAATTTTAACCCCCATTGACTAAATTTTCACTCGCAGGATCTAGTAGTCCTTCGTCTAAGTTTTGGCTGTCACCTAAGTACAGAACACCCCATTGTAGATTTTCCATGGTTCAAACAATTAATTACAAAAAAATTTTCGTTCTTATGCCAAAATAAAAAATTTCGGAAACACATTCATAATTCATTTAAACTCATGCAGTATATAGACCACCGTTTATGTTATGAACCATTAAGTTCAAATTCATTTTAATTTTCACACTTTCGTTTATAATAAAAAATAGTTAGATTCAAATTCATTTTAGTTTTCATATTTTCTTATTAGGTGAATCGTATTTCTGTATTATAGCTCATCTCGATACTCCTAGCTCCAGAGTCCGTAGTATTGATTTTCTTATTCAAATTCATTTTAATTGCCAAACATCCTGGAGTTTGAGGTATTTCATCCTCTCTGTTTTATTGATTTTATTGTGAAATATAAAATAATATTGAAAATTAAAGATGAAAGAATGAAGAATAACTAGATATTTATATGTAATAAAATTATTTATTTTAATTTTTTGATAAAAAATTTCAACTAAATATATTTAAGTAAAGAAACATTTATTCATTGAAACACTTATCTAAAAAAAATAAAATTTAGAAACTAAACTAGAAAAAACTAAAAAAATTTCATATACCAACTACATAATTGTCTTATCCTAACATAATTCAAGAAAGGCAATCTCCACGCAAGAGTTAAGGCCTAATCAATTCAATTTCATTGTCATAAAAAATCAAACTCTGGATAAAAATTTATAGAGACTGAAGCTGAAAGACCACACCCCACAATACAAAAATGCTGAGGTGAAAGATAAGGGACTAGAAAAATGGCCAACAAAAGACATGAATCATTAAAAAAAAAAAAAGATGATGACGACACAGGAAGGCAAATATTTAAACAATTTCCTATTCTTTAATGGAATAATAACTAATTAACATTTTAACCATCTTCAATTCAGCTACTAATCTTCTGCACTTGTTGAATCCCCTAACATGATTGCAAAAATGAATGGAAGTTGCAAGTCAAAGCAGGATTAGAGCTAGAAATGCTGCTGATAGAAGAGACTTAACTTTAGAAGCTTGGAAAGTCACACCTGCACTCTCTCCTTGAGGACTTATAGGTCCAAATGCAACCGGGGAAAAAATTCCTCCGCTCGTGCTCGAATTTGAACTATTCCAATAAATTCAAAAGTTTAGAATCACAAAAATGACTAAATGATTGTAAATGTAATTTCATAAAAACGAAGGAATAGATCAATCATAACCAGATTTGTATTCTCACCTTCCTGTAAAGGTGCAGGATCCGTAACCTGAAAAGGGCAATATTCGGTAAGGATGCCATATAAATACTAGAAAGGAATAACCATAAAAATGTTGGATGTGCAAATTTTTTAATACCATAATTATTTTCCTTTCTGGTCTAAGATATGCAGGCAAGGGACTTAGCCAGAGGCAAAACCTTCTAACAACTTAAAAACTTATCAAAAGGTGTACAGTAGTCTGCAGATTTATTCAGTTTGGTGAACTTTATGCTGCTTTATGAGTATACAACTAACCAGAAATATTGAGAAAGATGGTCCCAGAAAGCAGGACCAGCTCACGAGCAGAATACTCATCAGATGTGTTGCATTTTCAGATGCACAAGTTTCATAGACTTCTCTTACATTTTTTCGTGTTGTTACCCTTTTGAAATAGGATTTTTGAATAACATGCTCCAAGGAACATCCAACAAGCAATACTGAAGTAATGCCAATCCATACACATGGCCTAATGTATTAATTTAGCCAAAATTTACATGTTTTTGCAATTATACTCGAATCTGAGAATCTCAATCGTTTTACCTCAATTTGAAAATTTATCTGCAATTATACCATACTGGTCAAAATCGTAAAAAAAAAATCCTAAATTTTCTCTCCCAAACCTCTTCCTTTCTCGCAAACCCTTGTTGCACTTGCACAACTCAACTATGTCCCCCTATTATTATGAAACTCTAGAAAATTATTTTTTTTTTATTCACTTATGAATAAAAAATTCTAGTTTTTTTTTTGTCAATTTTAAGTTTTTATCCATTGGGATATAATTGTAGACAAGTTTTCAAACAGGGGTAAAATAGTTGAGATTCTCAAAATATAATAAAATCGAAAAATCATGCAGAGTTTGGGGTATATTAATTCATTAGCCCTATCAAATAGATAAAGCAAAAATATTTCATCTAAATATTATTTCAACTCATTCAATTGAGCAAGTACAGAGCAAAATCCTATTACTTCCATCTTCCAAGACTTGCTTTGTGATACTTTAGAACCAGAGATCATTTTTTATCAGATAACGAGTAATATAATGTTTGTCTAGACATCAAAATGGAGCAAGTCACTTGAATTCCATTTCCCAAGAGTTCTCGGCAAACATGAAACGAGCCAGCCCATGGAAAAAGCTAGCTGTATTTAAGTACTTTTCATGTCAAGTTATTTCAGAATCAAAAGAAAAAAAAAAGCAGGCAATCATTACTCCAAGTTCAAGACCTGACGAGAAAAGGGTGGAAGAACTTACTGGGATCAATTGTAGTTGTTGTGGCAGTACCATCAAAATCACATGTTCCGCCAGCACCACGCATTTTTTGATAATAATCATTATACGCATAAGAGGCATGGTTCTGGTAAGTATCAGGAGCAAAACATGGATGCCCTTGTTGGATGGGAGTGCAGTTAGCCCCACCTTGCCCACAAGCCCAGTTCAGCCCTTCTTTCAACTTTGCAGGATCTGCATTTTGTTTAGCAACACAGAAGACAGCAGAAGAATTTCCAGTAAGTCGATTGGAAGTACTCAATCTAAAAGTATAGACTGATGTGCCATTGGTGAAAAATATGCCCCAGTTTTTCTCTGACACAGGCCCTGGCCTCTTATCTTCATTGAACAATTCATAGATATATGTATTAATGGGTATGGTTGGCTGACTAGGTGGGCCTGAATCATTGAGAACACGCCGGATCAAATTATTATTGAAGTTCTCAGCATTATCAACAGTGGCATCAGGTTCATTGGCTCCACCAAGCCAAGGCCAGCCAGTCTCTGTAACAACAATAGGGATCCCAGAAGCATTGAAAGCATCTATAGCATAATAGGTAGCATCCACCATTGCATCAAACATGCTGTCATAATGAGAAAGAGTGTTGGGGTCAACAATCTGCTTGACAGAAGGAAGAGGTCGGAAAAGAGCATAATCAATTGGGAAAATGCCATTTCCAGTAGTGTATCCATAATAAGGATATGCATTTAACATATAATATGAATTGGTGTTCTTCAAAAACTGAAGGAGCTGGTAAATTGTAGAATTCCACGAAGAGTTAAAAGTAGCAGTTGACGGGGGGAAAGGCCTAGGGATAACATCCATGGACTGGGGAGTTGAAACCTTGACTTGAAAATTCAAATTTGAAGCAACCAGAGCTTTATGAAGGTAATTCATGGCAGGAACCAGAACAGGGGCAGCATTGGGAATTGAGGTAAGAACCTCACTGCCAACTGCAATGGCTGTAATGTTAGTCGCAGGCAAGTAAGAATTAACATTTTTATTAACCCATGCTGCAGCTGTGGCTGGAGATTCTCCAATACCCAGGACTTCCTCATTTGTGACACCAACCATCACTTCAATCCCACTGTTTGCAAGGGCTTTCAACATGTGAGCATCAGCATCAAAGAGGCGCACATGAGTAATTTGATTGGCCTTTAGAATAGCAACAATATCTGAAGCTGGTGGCAGGTTGGAAACATCAGTTCCAATGTTTATTCCTACAAATGCACCTGCAAAATCAAGAATGTGATTCAGTAAGGGGTAAGATGATGCATATCTCAATCAAATCTCTCTTTTCCCAAACAATCAAAAGTTTGGAGGTTTGCAAGTTATAACTTACAAGAACCTAAAAAAAGTTTAAATGAAAAAGTTCAAATTTTTAAGAAAAATATGTTTACACTGTCAAAAGAAGTGTAGAGCCTGTTTAAAATGTGCCATTGGGCTAGTAGCTCATAGCACCTGCCAGAAAAGTTCAAAGGTTTAATCCCATGAACTAACTAACATCTAATGTGGGAAGAGAGGTGTTCATTTGGTGCTTACCAACTGTAATATAAGTTAGTTTTAGTATCAGTCCAGAATTTCATCAAGCGAGGGGTTAGAAATGATTATTTAAAAGGATTAGAGATTGAGATATATCAAGAGAAATGGAGCTGTAAGCTCATTCCTTCTCAATATAGGATCAGACTAATGAATCTCCTAACCGTCAAAAGCAAATAATTATACAAGTATCATATTCCATGCAGCTTAAGGGAATTTCCCTATTTTTAAAGGAAAATCTTGGATGCAGCTAACTTTAGTATAACTTACTCTGTCAACTAATTATAATTACCACAGTATACATTTCCATCTCCCTTTTTCAATAATTTTATTTATTATGTTTTAATAACAAGATAAATTAGATTTGATAATAATAAGTAAACTTTAATAACAAAATAAGCTTTATTTAGTTACCTTTATCAAATTACATTTCCATCTCCCTTTTTCAATAATTTTATTTATTATGTTTTAATAACAAGATAAATTAGATTTGATAATAATAAGTAAACTTTAATAACAAAATAAGCTTTATTTAGTTACCTTTATCAAATTACATTTCCATCTCCCTTTTTCAATAATTTTATTTATTATGTTTTAATAACAAGATAAATTAGATTTGATAATAATAAGTAAACTTTAATAACAAAATAAGCTTTATTTAGTTACCTTTATCAAATTACATTTCCATCTCCCTTTTTCAATAATTTTATTTATTATGTTTTAATAACAAGATAAATTAGATTTGATAATAATAAGTAAACTTTAATAACAAAATAAGCTTTATTTAGTTACCTTTATCAAATTACATTTCCATCTCCCTTTTTCAATAATTTTATTTATTATGTTTTAATAACAAGATAAATTAGATTTGATAATAATAAGTAAACTTTAATAACAAAATAAGCTTTATTTAGTTACCTTTATCAAATTACATTTCCATCTCCCTTTTTCAATAATTTTATTTATTATGTTTTAATAACAAGATAAATTAGATTTGATAATAATAAGTAAACTTTAATAACAAAATAAGCTTTATTTAGTTACCTTTATCAAATTACATTTCCATCTCCCTTTTTCAATAATTTTATTTATTATGTTTTAATAACAAGATAAATTAGATTTGATAATAATAAGTAAACTTTAATAACAAAATAAGCTTTATTTAGTTACCTTTATCAAATTACATTTCCATCTCCCTTTTTCAATAATTTATGTTAAGTGATTTCATTTATGTAACCTTAAGTTTCTTGATCCTATATATAGTGAAGTATGGTTTTCCTTAGTTTATATTCATTTTCGTTCTTTGATTAGTGTTACATAGTACTCTTTGTTTAATGAGCTTAAATTTCTACTAGAGATGATTAATAATTAGGGTGAGGCTTTGTAGGATGTCAGAGTTTGGTTAATCTTAAAAAGAATAGAGATTTGATAAGTTTACATAGGATTTTTATGAATGAGAAGGTTATGTTTCATTTTGCTCAGTGGTTTCGTTGTTCAATTTCTTCTTTGCAAGATTTATTTTCGTGTAGTGTACCAGTTTTGGGACTTTGTTGTTTCAGTGCAGGAAAGTTTGATGCATACAACGATTACGAAAAGGCAAGTTTAAGCCTATCTTGACTAAGGGATCTATTTTTATTGTAAAGAACTTCAGGATTGTTGCAAGTGTTGGGGATTACTATGATTTTGATGCATGGATCTCAATTTGTCACTACACATTAACGGATTCTCAAAATAACAGAGTTCTATCAAGTTTGTCCTAGGTATTTATTGACCTATATGTGCAGCTCGGTTACAACAAAGATTACTTTGTAGAGAGAGTTGGTAGAGTGTTTTGATTTCATTTGTGAATAATAGTTTGGATTGAGAGATAAATGTGGGATTTTATTTTAATACTTTTTCTTTTTGTAAGATTGTTTTATCATAGCAATATAAAATGGTTTCTAGCACTTTTGACTGATGACATAAAAAAGAAAAAATACAAGATTATACAAATTATAATTCCCGTGCAAAGCAAGGGTAATTCTCTAGTTTTTTTATAAAGTCCTTCACAACAATGTAAACTTCTACACTTTTTATAACCCTTACAATAAGAAGAAAGATGGAGACCCAAATGGCTTATTTAATTTTAACTTCAACTCAACATGTATATGTATAAGTGTATGCCAAAACAAGTTTTGTAAGTTACCTATTGCATCGCTGAACATGCCAACTAGAAGTAAAAGAAGACTTCCAAGCCGTTTTTTGAGCACCATTCGATCCAAGAAACTCTTGCTTTTCAATCCTTGGCTTGTGTTAAACTGCCAAAGGTTCAGGAAACACATTTCACGTGACATAAGATATCAATTGCCACAAGCAAGTCTTGCTGAAGCTGACAATATAATAGAAAGTGTAGAAATTCCATTTTGGAATGAAGTCAAGAATCAAGAACACAGCCTTTAGAACTGGCCTGAATGTCTAATAATAACATACAAGTCAGTTGACATGAAGAAATTCAGCAAAAGACCATCAAACACAACGAGCTAGAAATTATTTCAATAGCAAATTGAGTACATGCTTAAATCATCTTTACTAAAAAAATAAATGGAAAACTAACAAAAGGACAAGTACATTTTACATAGAGGGAAGAACATATGTAGCACAGATTACTAGGAAGTCATATCCATACTGTGTCCAATATTAGAGAGACTATTCAGGCTCTAGCAAATGCAATGACAAAGTTGTTCAGTCTAACCAAAAGTTCAAGCATAGTCACAAATTCAGAAACATCTTTAACACATCTAGAATGCTTGTGAACATGTGTTGAGTACATGAGAGAGAAGAAACTTGTTCCTAGTTTCACAGGAGAAAAAAAAGCAGGATGAATAAAAATTTCATACTTTTGAAGAGTTTTGAAGACAAAGACCAGGAGTAAGGCCTAAAATTTTCATTCTTTCATTGCTTTGGAATTTGATGCATAAAGTAGATATGCCAATCTAATGACCATTTAGTATTCAAATTATATAATAAGTAACACTCCAAACGATGGTGTATGCTACACCAAGTAGTTATACCAATACACATGCCGGTGACTACACTGGCAAGTTAGATACTATTCAATTCTAATCTCCAACTCAAACTAGGAGGGGATAGGTGATATTGGTCATTTTTCTCCATTGAGCCATTATTAGGGTCAAACTTCTAGTGGTTGTTTCAATGACAAATCGTTTTCACCACTTCACTTCATTTGTTGCTACACATGAAATGGTGAAAACAATGAAGCCAATGCATGTCAGGGTAAGCTTAATGTGTGATTCATTGGATCCAACAATCAATGAGGGACACCTTCATCGTCATTTTTTGACCATGAACCCAACAATCAACAAATAAATCACCTTGATCAAGAACAACCTATATAAATATCCTGCATACCTTATGAGAATCCTTCTATTGAGCAGTAACTTGTATTTGAAGAAGGAGGACCACCAGGAATCCAAACACTAGCTATGAATCACATGTAAGCTCATGTTCAATGGTTGTTATATAATTAACGTCTAATGATTGGCAATTCCTCCTTAATTAAGACAACAAGCTTTTCAGACATAGGCACTTTATAAAACCACAAGAATTCATATGTCATTTCTCCTTCTGCATACCTTTTATTTTCGTTTACTTTCACCAGAAGCCATCCTTCCCATTCAATTAACAGGGAAAATCACATCTCCCACAACCCCTCTTCGGTAGCCGGTAGGTAAATGACACATAGTAGAAAAAGCATTTATATTATCAGTGACTGAAATGGTTATTCCATGGCCTTCCTAAATGCAAATTTCAATTTCACTCTACTGCAAACATAAACAAATTATTTGCAAAGGCTTCATCATTTGTATTACCAGGTCAATTAACCTATTCAAGTTGATGACTGTAATCTAGAATAGTTACAGACAAACGAAGAAAATGAAGCACACCCATGCATTCTTAATCTAATCTGAATGAAAATTTTCTTGCATTCAACTTTACAGAGGGAAAGAACATAGACAGGAATACGGTGACCACAAAGTAATCACCTAAAATTAGAAATAAAGCTTTAATAATAAAAAGAGAATAGAGTAATTCAAGCAGATAAACTGAAGGGAGTTCTTGTCATCTTAAAGGCTCCATTACATTATGATGGAAATAGCTTTCTCAACAGCATGTCATCTTAAAGGCTCCATTACATTATGATGGAAATAGCTTTCTCAACAGCAAACTCAAGTTCCAAGCTATTTGAAGTTCAATAACTTATCAAACATCATTCTTATCAACATAGCCAGTAATAGGAAATAATTTCGATAGTCAAACAGCAGAAAAATGAGAGTAAATATGCAAGAATTCTAAATGTAGCAAACTTCAGGTAACCAAACACATTCTAGGGCGAGATATTAGAGCAAACATATAATAAGCTTTGTCCTCTATCAATAAAGAAAAATAACCTTAAAGAATTAATTATCAGTTCTTTGAGTAAGCAAACTAAGAGATAAAATCTCTGTCCCTCTAAACCCAAATTCAAGAATCTAAAACTTTATGCACATCAAACAACCTGAAAAACTAAAGAAAACCAGAACATAAGTAGCCTAATATGCGAAAGAGATTAAACACCCAGAAGATAAAATCAACAAAAATGGAGTAACCAGAAGCCAAAACCCTAAAAAACACACATGGCATAATACCAAAATGAGAAAAGTAAGAATATAAAGCCTAGAAGTACCTGATCCAACTTTGCGCAGCTGAAAGAAAGCAAGAAATCAACCCTGTAAGTGTAAGCAGCCTCCAAAGAGTTAACAAAGCGCTAGAAAAAACCCCCCAAAGAACCAAAGCACTTAAACCAGAAACAGAGCAGTGAGAACTAGATTACTAAGAACCCAAAGCACAATCTATACAGATACCCAAAGCCCCACTAAAGTAAAGCGCATTTCTTTGTATGTAAAAAAAAACACAAAACAGTGCAATGAATGAACATACTTTGTAGAGCTAATGCAAAATTCTCCATTAAATACAAAGAAAGTACTCTCAAACTATACCCCACCACATAATTAAAAAGAAAAACTATGATTAGACAAATTACATACTATTAGAAGGTTACAGAGAGAGATGAGAACCCTCTAATAGCAGCTGTCCTTTGTGGGTCGCCAGCAGGAATAAACCTCTGCAAGTATTTCTTGTCTGTTCTTTTGTCCTATCTGCAACTTTTGAATAACATAAAATGGTATTTTAATCTGGAAAGGTCAGATAGAGATCATCATCACCGTCCATTTAGTATCAAGTGTAGTTTTGCATTAAGCAAAATTGAAACTTTAGTTTAGAGATACAGAGAGAAATATATCCATTGGAGGTTTTTCCATGAATTTCCCTCCAAAAGTCATTTTTCTTAGCTTGGAAAGAGAACTGAAAAGTCAAAAGAGAAACGGTTTGGGTTGAAAACAGGTGTTTTTATTATGGTAAAGGATAGGAAAAGGTTGTGTGCAATCACTGGATTTTAATGTCCGTCTAAATGCAAAATTTGAGTCTGTCTAAAGAGTAAAGATCTAACTCGTTCAAGCCAATGTTTTTAAAATCAACCAAATATGGAACTGGTCTGCTTACTGGGTTGATTAGATTAACTTGGTTCAACCGCAATTTTTTACTTTTTATTTTCTATAATTATTTATAAAAAATTAACGAAATAATAATTTTATAAAGAAAAAGTGATAATGTATTATATAATTATAAGTGTATGATTATTTTCCAAATCATTCATCATCAAATATAAATCTATAACTACTAATTTTTTATTTTATTCATTATCACAATCAAATATTATATTATATATTTAATAAAATAATAAATATAATTTTAAATATTACAATATTAAATCATTTATCATTCAACAAAATATAAAAACATTTTGCACTATAAGAGCTTTTAAGTAGCTTTTAGCGTTTTGACTAAATGCTATTTTTGATAGTGATCGGTAATATGAATATAGTGTTTAAATTAACTTTTAGAAGTTAAGCTAGTGTTTTATGTAAAATTAACTCACGTAACAGCTATCAAAACAGCTAATTCTGCTGAATAGATATTTTTAAGATTAAATTAAATTAAATTGTTTATTTTTAATAAATAAATAATTAATTAACTGTTGACTATAGGATAACTATTTTTAAAATTGAATACACCATATTAAAATTTATTTTTATCCAAAAATTTAGATTAGTTATTTATAATTTTGGACCTTTTACTTATTATATATCTTTAAAAAAAAAAAAGAATTAGTGGATTAATTTAAAAGTTGTAGATTCCAACATTCCAACCTTTTCCTTAAAAAAAAAAAAAACAAAAAGAGTATCTTTATACCTTATTAACTTTTTTTTACTTAAAATTAAAGCTATATGGCTTGCAGTAAAATCGGACCCGCTACTAATTCGCGAGATAATTGGTCTGATCACCCATTTAATTCGGTTTTAAAAACACTGATTTAAGATTATTATTAGGAAGTAATAAATTATTTTATTCTAATTTTACTTTTGTCTAAATATTTCCATCAAACTTTCTCCCTTAATTATAAATAATTAATTAAAGAATATTTTAATCAATTCTCTTATTTTTTTCTACGATTTAAGTGGTTCAATTTTTTTTTTTAATTCTTATGAAAGGTAAAACGGTGTCCAAATTAACGGAACGAATGTAGTAGCAAAATGTGCATTAATTTGATTAAACTACCCTTTAAAAAATTACAGAGATAATTATTTTATTTAATATAAATAAAAAACCTTTATCAATTACTCTAGATATTATCAAATGAGTTATAGTTGTAGATAACAAACTATTTTAAAACAAAATTATTTTCTAAAGTTATTATTATTTTATAGCTTATTTTCACAAAGGATATTTATTTTAAACAAAGTAAATTTAGATTAGGGGATGCTAAGTAAATTTAGATTAGGGGATGCTGTTTAACAAATTTATTGATAGAGAGTTCATAGTTTTTTAATCAGACGTTTTTGAGTTCTTATATTCTTTTATAATATAATATATTCAGATTTCATTAATAATTTCAAAGTAATACATAATACAGAATCGATAGGATCCCTTTTCTAAAAAATATTTATTATTTTAATAAATTTTGAATAAATCATGGGTTATCCAGAGAAATTCCACTTAAAAAATGTTCTTTTTTTGATAAAAAGTAAATCATTTATGTTATAGCATCAAATGCTAACAATATCATACATCTATGATATTCAAGTGGTAGGTGCATATATGAATTGACAATATATTCGGATTTGAATCTCCTCTTCTAATACTAAAAAAAAAAGTACTTTACCAAACGAACCATGTTATTAAAATATTAATTAAAAAATGATTTTTACTTATGTGAAATTTCACCATGTAATAGGGGTGTTTATCAAACCATCCAAACCGCGCAAGTCAATCCAATAATGACGGTTTTAAAAAGTTGGTGGTTTAATTCAATTTATAAAACTTAAAGAAATAAGGTTTAATTTGACCCATGAACTTTGGCATAATATATAATTTACCCAAAAATTAATTTTTTGTACAATTTATTCCTTGAACTTGCAGAAAAAAGAACAAGTTGCCAGATTTTTAAGAAATTTTTTTTATAGTTTTAAGTTTTAACTAATAAAAATTACTTAAAATTAGAAAATAAAAATTATTTAAAAAAAGTTTACAGTATTTGATTTAAAAAATTATATAATTAAAAAAATATTTGATTATATTGAAATATTTGGTTAGATTTTGGTTAGAAAAATATTTATTATTTTTTTGTTTGATTATTTGTTTAATTATATATATTTGATTTAGATTAAATATTTAATTACTTTTGAATCATATTTGATTTATATCAAATAGTTTATTTTTTGAAATAAAGATAGGGCGTTTTGTATTTTTGGTGCAAGTTCAAAGGGTAATTTGTATAAAAAATTAATTTTTGGGTAAATTGTATTTTGTGCTCAAATTTCGATTGCAAATTGAACCTTATTCCAAACTTAAAACCTAATTTTTGATTTGATTTATAATTTTAGAGTCAAACTATTCAAACCGAACATATATATATATATTATATATATATATATATATATATATATAATAATATTATATAATTATATATATATAAACCTTTAAATATATAAACCTTTAAATGATATATAATTCAATTTAATTTCTGGATAATAATTTTTTTTGTTACTTAATTTATATCGGGTAGTAATTAAACTATAATTTCATACATGGATGAAATTTTAGCTTTTATAATTTTTTTTAGTAATAAATGTAGAAAACAAATCAACATTTGAATTCTATATAAATAAATTGCTTAACGGAACATCTTATTTAATGTATAATTTGTACCATACTCAAAATAATTCTTGTACAAAAATTAATTTAAAAATTTTGAACAGCTATTTAAAAGCATGTGAATTTTATGCTTTCGTTTGTATTAATTCATTTTCAATGTTTAATATAATACTAATATTTTTTCTTGTTAATTGATGAATTAGAAATTTTAATTTCCCTTCTTTCATACCATTAAACTAAATCTCCACTAAAAATTTAATTGGTTTGATTTTAATTTTTTTAAACTGCCACCGCAGTAACTGGTGGCAGTAACTTTAGTTTGGTTGTTACTTCCAAAAAAAAAAAAAAAAAAAAAAAAACAATAAATATCTCTACCCTGTACTATGTGCACTTTTTTTTATTCATAGATCATGGAATATACAACTCAACATTCATCATATTAGCAATAATATTCATCATCTCCTACTTTTTATATCCTTTGGGTCTATTTTGACAATATTAGCTATTAGTGGTTGTAATAATTGTTAGTTGTTATATTAGTTTTTAGTTGTTAGATATTAACTTTTAGTCGTTAGCTGTTTTATCCAGGGAATAAGATCACAGTAAGATCTGACCTACCTTTACGTACACAATCTGTTGATACATCTATTAACCCAACAAATGATCTAGACTTTCCCATTACTGTTAAAAAAGGTATTAGAGAGTGCATCAAACGACCACTTTATCCATTATCTTATTATGTTTCTCTTAAACACTTGTCACTGATCCAGAAAAAAATTTATTGCGAGTCTAAACAACATTGTTATCCCTAATAATGTTTTTAAGGCATTATCAATAAAAGAATGGAGGGAAGCTATGAGAGAGGAGATAAGTGCATAGGAAAAGAATAAGACATGGGAGATTGTTGATAAACCAAAAGGAAAAAATATTATTGATTGCAAGTCGATTTTCACATTGAAAGACGAAGTTGATGGATCTCTTAAGAGATATAAAGCATGATTGATGGCAAAATGGTATATTCAGACCTATGGGATCGATTATCATGAGACTTGTGTTGCAGTTACAAAAATGAATACTATGAGAATTATATTATCATTGGCTACCCACTTCAATTGGCACCTCCTTAAGTATGAGGCTAAGAATACATTTATCCCAGTGACTTAAATGAAGAAATACATGAAAATTCCATCAGGATTTGAGGGGAACATAAGTAACAAGTGTGCCAGCTGAAAAAAGCCCTTTATGGATTAAAACAATCTCTTTGAGCATGGTTTGGGAGATTAAAATCATGAAGGAATTTGTGTATAAACAAAGCCAATGTGACTAGACTCTTCATTAAACATTCTGATGTAAGGGGAGTTATAGCTCTTTCAGTCTATGTAGATGGCATCATAGTGACTAGAAAAGACGAGAAAGAGAAGCATGGATTGAAACAAAAACTGCTAAAAGAATTTGAGATAAAGGAACTAAAAGTACTTCCTTGGTATTGAGGTGGCATACTCCACATAAGGAATCTTCATATCTCATCAAAAGTATGTGATTGATTTATTGACATAAACAGGAAAGATTGGATGTAATTTAGTCTCATCCCCGATGGATCCAAACCATAAGTTAGGAGAAGCTAAAGATGAACCAGCTATTGATAAAAGAATGTACCAAAGGATGGT